GAGTGCGGGTTCGACCCCAGCTGAGGAGCGTTGATTGCCGAAGGTCGAAAGACGAAGTAGAGGACCTACTACGTTCCATCTAGAACATTTCCAGCAATATGAGCTCATGTCTGCGGTGGTCCAATGAATAAATCTCCAAGTATCTGCAGTCGCTTTGTGGAGGAGAGTTCTAGTGGACGATTGCTCTGATCGGTAGTTTTGCGCGGTTTCTCCGATCAACACCAGGCATATATAGCAGAAGTAGCCTAATAAACGGGCCACGAACCGGGCGCGATCTTTATTTCCTCCTCCTTCTTCTGTCCAATCCCCTTACTTACACACACACTTACATTCACTACTCTACCACACATGTTGAGAGACCGGTCGGGAGCTGAGAGCTCGCTCCGGCTGGGGTGCTGCCGCACTGGTGGGAGATACCTGGTTAGGGAAAAACAAGCCTGCGTGTAGGTCGGCGCCGGATGTCACCAACCAGCGGGGAAAGATAACTGCAATCTCCCACGGTAAAATCCAAACATGAACTACACTAATGACCTCAGTAGTTGACGGGCCCGGAAACTATTCAATCCATGTTCCCGGCCTAACACACTATTAGGTGATATGGCACGAAAATGCCAGAGACAGCGGAAGTGTGGAGATGTTGTCAAGACGTTTCTCCGGCAAAGACCTTCGCTTCTGAACGTGGTGCAAAGCTGCCTTGCGACATTGGCCAAGGGGCGACAGCAGCGCTGGTGATAGAGGTGGCTGCGGCAGTGGCGGCGCGGCGCTCTGAACATAAGACCAGCTGACGCAGCGACCGGAAATTGGGAATTTCGGCCCCCTCGCACGGCCGGAAGTGCCTTCCAGACGATGGCGAAGCGGCAAGTATTGGAGTTGTGCGAACACATGTGGATTTTTACGACTGCTTCATAACATGCGAAGGGTTGCATTTGAGAGAACGAAAGTAATATGAGAAGATTTATTCGGACTCAAAACAATCACGTTTTGCTACAGTGCCGAGGCAGCAATTTGCCGTTTCAGAATACATTTTATATACCAAAATATTAAAACTGTTATTCTGTACTATATTTCGTAGAATAAAACATATACAATGTTTATATTCTTAGTTTTGCAATTCATTTTTTATTTTATATTTTTTCTCGAAAATTGGTCAAGGCTTTCTCTCTAAAACTTCTGTCGTTTGAATTAACATATTATTGATTTACTAACAGCGTACTAAAACACCAGAGTCATGAATAACGTTCTTGATATCTGAGTCTACGAATGAAAACCTATTTAAAACATTCCGTGCAAATACCGGATTAAATATAAAAAGAAAATAAATGAGTAAGAACAGTCGCGGTGCGTCCACTGAAAATTTTTGCAAGGCAACTATAGGATCTCCATCATCCAGTTCAAAAAAGGGGAGTGAACTATCAAGCTGGGCCTGTCATAGGGCATTGATGCAATCAAGAGTATTTTTGTGATACCTTTCCCATCGTTGGGTATGAGTACCCTTTACACAAAAGCGAGACGCAGAATACAGAGGACGAACTAGCACGAATATGGAGGCTTTGGTCAAGAGCTAGACAATGTCAAAGGTGCTCGTCGAAGTTTTCCCTCTGCATTTGTCAAAATTATAATATACTCATTGACACGGGAGTCCGTGAACAGAAAACTATCATTGGCATGCCCAGCGTCTCCAATTTACTCGGCATATTCTTCTAATAAATAACTCTCCCACGTCAAACACTCATAAGCAGGGCTCCGATTCTGTTGAAAATGACAGATGAAATGACTTAAAAATAAGAGGAAAATGGCCTACAAAATTACTTAAAAATAAATATAAAATGACTTTGAAATACTAAAAAATTCGTAAGAATATGTTTATTTATTCAATAAATTTTACAAGTTTAAATTGAACGTGTTTGTATACAATTATATTTAATATGAAGTCTTTATTTTGGAATGCAAGCTTCGATCTGTGAACTGCCAGTTTTGAAAGGCCGAGGAAGTTACCGATGATCCTTGTAATTTCAGAGTTCGAAAAATAGAGTCCCTTGCAAAAGTGAATTTCATAGTGAACTAGGGCGGGGGTGAGGTGGAGGCGGGGGCGGGGGCTGTGGCGGTGGCGGTGGTTACGGTGGTGACGGTGACGGTGACGGTGACGGTGACGGGGGCGGCGACGACGACGACGACGACGACGTCGGCTGCTGCGCAAGTGCAGGGCGGCGGAGGCGGGTTGACCGGCCTATCTACCTGTTAAACGCGTTGGGCAGCGGCCGTTAACATCTGAAAGCCGACACCCGGCACCTGCGATAAACAAAGCAAGCCAGTAGTGCACAGTGGGAAGAAATTACATCGAAAGTGCACATTAAATTGCGTGTGATTTCCAGACAAGAGGATCAAGTCTCGGTCACTCTATGTAATGTTTGTCGTCAAGAATATTAGTTCTCAGTAGGTGTAATGGAAATTTTTTCTGTTCTTCCTTCCTGCACATTTCAACCGTCAGTTAAATGTGCTTGCGTTGTAAAGAACATAAGCACAGAAAATTGTTATAATTTCCAAGAACGCATTTTAACAGACAAAATAAATATAAATTTTGTTATATGTATCAGTTAATGTAAAATAATCAAAAATTTATTGGTCTCCTTTTTCTTTGAATAAGTTAATTGTTCGTGTCTTTTGGTATTGGAATATTATAAGATAAACCCGAAGAAACATATTTGTTATGCATTTTTGTATATTCATTTTTTATGCTATAATGCACTGTTGCGCAAAATGCATGTTGTTTTGTTCAGTGCACTGTTTTAGATGTCATTTCATAAAAGAATAATTCATAATTGCGCAGGTTTGCGCCAGGTATAGTTTCGCAGATTGTTAACATAATTATTCTTCCTATAAAATTAGGCAATGGTGGAAAATGTCATCGTTTTTTGATCGCCTTATTTAATGAACACATATTTCATCAGTCCCTCGAGTTGCTCCTGGTCAGTGTGCCTCTCTTTCCTTGACGTGATTCCCAGGTTCGATTCCCGGTCGGGGCAGATTATAGTGAGCGCTTTCCTTTCAACGTCCCAGTGTCTGTTGCTGTGTGATGATGGGAAAGATAGCTTTTCAGGTTGAGAAGACCATAATACAAATATGATGTAGGGATGTCTATGTGCTAACCCCACGTATCTCTAACTTATGGTCGCAAAGCTGGGACGCCGCTGGTATGCTTTGGCCCTGTCAGAGACTGTTGTATCAGTACAAACAGATGGGTTTCTTAATTTATTTATTATCTGAATTTTCATATCACAATTTAACTACATAACCACTAAAAATCAGCATATTTTCTACATAATACATCCTATCTACTCCAGGTACGCTACATGAAAACGGTCGGTTCTCGACGCGTCTGTTTCAGTTATCGCCGTGGCGAGAAGGGCGCGTCTGCAACAGAAGTCATTTTCACCTTTTAGTGAGAAAAGTATCCGTGACGACGCGTTTTGTGACCTTTAATCTCAATTTCTTAGAAACTTTGTCGATCGGTGACGTGTAATGCTTCGATGAGAATGCTGCACACTGCAGTGATGGTTTATTGGGCGTAGATATCGCCAGTGTGTACGATACTTCGATCGAGTGTAGCCTGGCTCCTAAACTACGGTTCTGCGATCCTAAATAGCCTCATATGTAGATTTCACTACTGACGGGAAAGTTGTGTGATGCAAAGAATACATTCTTCTGTTTTCTTCAAATTATTTTGAAAATCGCTTGTATTATTTCTAAATTCCTTTAGAATTTTTTTCTAATTGTTACTTCTTCACCGAGTGCGTTATAAGAGTTCTAATGGTCGAGCTGCGACAAAATGCCTGTGGGGCCTGCAGCCAAGGGCTTTTTTGGTGCCCGAGGTTATAAGAACGAATATGCCGTGGTATATGCATAATTTTATTTTTTACCTATGTTTTATTCCGATTTACTTATTTACTAATTAATTAGATGTTAACTTGACTCCGTTTGTCTTTTCATATTTCCCTCCTTAATTCCCACCGTAACGGAACATTTAGCATCATTCAACTATTTTCATATTTCCCTCCTAACCACGGTCCTTTTGATCCAGGTAAGTTATACAGCGTATATAGAACGTCGTATCGAAGACAATAAGAAGCTATAACGCATCGACAAAAATATATGAAATTTCGTATTATGTAAATGTATTTGATAATCGTGTATTTTAATATTACAAATTATATCTGATTTTACATATTTGTTACATATTCGTACTGTTTTCATTACATAATTAAGTAAATATTCTGACATTTCATATTACATATTTTTCCGGACTCCAATGATGACGTATGTTTTTGCCTTCCGCTCCCTTTGGCGCATTCGGGCCCCGTGCCCGTGCCTGCGTACGGTGACCGAACACCTCCGCGCCGAGGTGGCGCCTGGGTTGCGCTGAACACGACGTGGGATTTGGACGGCGATATCAGGTGAAGTTAAATTACGCATTTGTGCGCCCCGCCCCGCGGCGCGGTGCTGCGCTGCCCTATCGAAAGAGAAGTTGAGATAGGAACGCCCCTCCCCCTTCCCCTTCCCCTCCCGCCGCACGCGTCGTGGACACCGTCGCCTGCAGCAGGGCCCGGCAACTCTCCATCAAAATCGGGGACAAAGCTCGAGGTTGCTACTATAAGAAGCGCTAGTGTCGCCGGGTGCAGCTGCAGGTTAGGCTCGCCAACTTTCCCACATACAAATTGGCTAATTTGTGAGAAATACGAAAAGTGTCTTCTAAATGTAAAAATTCATAATCTCTACTTGTAAGAAACCCATGAAGAAGCGCGAACGTAGACGTTATCTTTTGTAACATTATGGTCCTGTTTGCGACTAACGCACCAGTCACGCACGTTTAAAGTATCGTTGGCAACAGTTCGTGTTTTAGTTCATGTAAAGAAGGTGATGCAGTAGAGCGCGCCACCGTAATGGTCTCCACCACGTTATATGGGAGTTATAGGGCCCTGTCCTGCAGTTGACGCGCTCTCGGGTCATAGTTCGCTTGATTTAGATGCGTTGAGTGGTTCGCGCCCTCCCGCCGGCAGCGGAGTGCGGGTCAGCGGCGGAGCGGAGCGGAATGGAGGCTACCTCAGTTCGCGCAGGTATGTTTCCACGGAGGGATAAGTTGGCGATTAGATTACTTGATTACCGCTCAGTTAATGTATGAAGATTTATTGGGAGAGTCAAGGTGACCTGTGTTTGTCAGACTCTTCCCCTAAAATTGCGTAGTAGAATCGTTGCGGAAAGACGCGGTAAACGGGTCTTCTGAGGGAATGTACAATACATTTTTTCTTTAGTTTCTTTCGGAATATTGACAATGCTTGTGTCATCCTATTTGACGCTTCGAGTTCTTTAGAATGGTGGTAGAAAAAAAATTACCTTTAAAAATATAACTTGTGTTATTAAGTCCACAGTTAGTATGTTACAACCACGAAAATAAATTATACTAATTCCCTCATCTATCACAACAAGAGATAAACCACCTCCCTATACTGAAACATTTGCAGATATTCGCTCTGCACAACTTAGGGGGTCCATCTGAATGGACGAGCAGAATCCACACCATTAGAGTTCACAAACAACAAGTACCAAAAGAAAATGAATTCACAAAAATATATAGGATTGATTTGATAAATGACTAATGTAGCCCTTTAAATTCAGACAAATACATTAATCTGACAAATTAATTAACAACTCTGTACTAAATTGTTACCGTATTCATGAAGAAATTGCACTTTTACACTTACAATCTATTGCAAATTCATTAGAAAAGTATCTATAAATGGGCGTTTCAAATAATTAAAACCGTCGGTAATAAAAAAAATCAAACGTATTATCGTTACACAATAATCTTTACGGATCATTAAGGCATGTACATTTTAACTTAACGTAATAACAACTTATATATTTTAACGTGATGGAAGGTAACTTTCTTTGAAATTCTTCATAAAAGGTTGAGAAAGACGGAAGCGATTTAACCTGTAGTGTCGTTGTTCTAAGCACGAAATGTTGAAAAGAAACAACGTGGCTGGACATGCTCCCACCCGAGAGGTTTCCAGTGGCGCAGGAGCGTGGAGGGCGCGTGCCACGGGGTCGAGGTCGAGGTCAAACGGCACCGCGGCGCCAGGGCTGCGCTGCCCTCGCAGATCCGGGAGAGCCAGGCAGCGCTCAGGGCTCAGGCGCATTCATAAATCCAAGCGTCCATATTCATGAGTCTCCTCGCTTCGAGAGCTCCTCGTCTCCCGCGAGCCGCCTGCCCTACCTCTCGCCGGACCTCTCGCTCGCCTGCTCGCCCGCCCTCTCACCCGCTCTCTAAACCGCCCTCTTCCCTGCCCCGTCGTCCGCCCCGTCGTCCGCCCCGTCGTCCGCCCCGTCGTCTCGCCCGCGTCACCGCCCCGCGTCCGCCCGCGTTCCGCTCCCGCAGTCGCGCCGCGTCCGCGCCGCCGTCCGCCCGTCGTCGCGCCTGTCGCCCGTTGTCCCGCCCCGCGTCGCCCGCGTCGCCCGCAGTCGCCCCGCGTCCGACGCGCGTCCGGCCCGCCGTCCGCTCCAATAGTCAACTCGATGCAGACCCTGAACTCTTGAAATTATTAAAATAATGTTTTCTAATCTGAACATTTTTTCATAGCCCAGCTCCTTTGGTTATCATGCTTTGAAACCTACAAGAGAGAGCGGAGATAATGGGGGAGCTATGACGTAAAAAGAATCCATGCATTGTGAGTGTTCGACAAAATCAAAAGTCGGTTTTTAGGGGGAGAGTAAAAATGATAAATCAGTAATATGTAAAAATATTTTGAGAAATAGAGTAATTTTTCGCAATGCATAGTAGTGAATATTTGTTGTTAAATGATATGTACTTCAGATATTCAGTTTCTGATCTTTTTTAATTGTTTTCGTATTACGAAGTTATGTATAATTGATTGTAATTTAACTGCCATTAACTTTAAATTATATCACTCTAACTTGATATATATTCAATGTGCATCTCGTTTCAAAATTTACGTCCTCAAACATTTGAAACCTGCATCACGTTTTCACATCTTACACCCCTCCACTTGACGAGGTTGACAGAAATTAACCCCTGGAGAGAGGAATGGACACGAATGCATCATTATTCGATTCCTCCGTGCGTCGGGGTCCGGGTCGGGTTTCGGTCGGGTTCGGTCGGGTGTCGGGTACTCGGTCGGGGTCGGGTCTCGGTCGGGTTGTCTGGGTCGGGTGTCGGGTCTCCGGATCGGTGTGTGGGTCGGGTGTCGGTTCGTCTCGGGTCGGTCTCGTCAGGGTCGGGTCGGGTCTCGTCTGCTCGGGGTGGGTCGGGTCTGCGTCTCGGGTCGGGTCGGGTCTCGTCTCGGGTCGGGTGGAGTCTCCGTTCGGGTGGGGCTTGGGTCGGAGACTACGTGGTGGGGCTCTGGGGTCGGGCTTGGTCGGTCTCTCGGGTGGCTCGGGTCGGGTTCGCGTCGCGTCGCCGTCGCTTCGGGGGGAATAGGGTGAAGAAGCCAACGTCTCGTCGCTATTCTCACGAAGTTGAGCCGCGCCGGGCGGCAGGGTTCGCTCCTCCCGCCAGTGGCGCACGTCGCAAGTGGATGCGCGGTTTTCATGGCCCTTCACGCCCGTCCCTCACCAAGCCCGCAACCAAACCCCAAGCGCCGTCAAAGGCACGCGCCGCGGGTCTCCGATCCTCCCCCTCTGCTCGCGACATCACACTCCACCCCGGCCCCGCCCCCGCTCAAAAGACTAATGATTCTGTTACACAGTGAATCTTACAAAGGGTAATGCTCATTTATGCATACGCTCCGCGGATCCGCGCGAGGCGGCGAGGTCTGCGCTGCTGCCGGTCGTACGCCTCCCTTGTTTCGGGGCTGTGGCGATGACAGTGATAAAACGGCTGCCTTATTTTTCAGTTTACTCTTCGCACGATTGCCTTTGTGTTCGTTTTAACTTTATTCGGCTCCTTGTTCCCGCTGGGATGTGTGTTTTTGGGGGCGGCGCTTTCCGTCGGCCTCGAGGTTGCGTTGGGGTTCCTTCTGGCGTTTTCTCATTTCGCCCTTCGCCTCGCCTTTCCCTCTCTTCGCTCGCAAGACGTGAGGGTGGGAATGTCTGCGGGCGTTGGCGCAGCATCTCGAAATGCTTTCCGAAAAAACGACGCGGGCGTGAGATTGAAATCCGAAAAACTTTTCGTGCTATGAAATATTAGTGTTACGGCGGATTTCCATGACATGTTACATGTTTTTTTCTTTGCTAAATACAATTTCACGAAATACAAATAAAGACGCGTTATCATTTAAGAGTTTTTAATGTTCTTTGTCAGAGGTTGTGATGCCAGTTTGTAATTATATAACAATATTACCTTTTTGTATTGTGAAAATGAAGTTCCTATTGGACTGACATTCACAAAGTAGAGACAGTATTTTGTGATGCGTCCTTAATTATTATTTGATTGTTCATTACATTTAACTAATTATATTATCTATTCTTATCTATCATATTATATATATAATATCTAAGAATGTACCATTATGTAAATAAAGTTGCTATCAACTGAAAATGTTAATGTAATATTCGTTTCTATTTGTTTAATAGGATACATAATTACCGTTTGCTTCCGAGAAATCACTGGTTATGAATATTCTAGCAGGATCAAAATATCTGCTCGACTGCATTAACTGTGAAACTCGGATACTCGCGGTGTAAAAGATAACTTGTGGCGTCATAATGTTATATATATCATTAAAAAAATTGTTTAACTTTTGGCACATAATTTTTGTAATCAGTACGTTTCGTTTTATTGACATGGGTATTCTCTCAAAAATAAATGCATAATGATCACATGGCACTACTTATATAGATTTTTTTATTTCGTGTACTTTCCCTTACTTTTGATTTCATTGTGAGACAAAAGGGCGTTTTTGTTCTTTTAGGTGTGTTCATACTTTTGCAAATAAACGCAGGAAAGGCGAATACACAGTCTCTAGAAGGCCGTTTAAAAGTTAAAGGTGGAGTAAAAATGAATTGCCTAATTTTCTAGATCATTACATTGATTGTTAACACCAATGAAAAGGAATTCGAGGGCAATACCCTTCAGAAAGGAAATTAAAAAGCACTGTATGCTGAATAAAATTGTAAAAATATGTTTTGTTATTTAAATTCAATAATTAAAAAAAAGAAGGTACTGTATCAAATAATATATTTTTAAATTATGAAATATAGGCAATTTTGAATTAATCAAAATTATATTACTTTAAAAATATAATTTATCTCATAATTTTGAATATTTAATCTATGTTGGATATGCTCTAGAGAAGACCTTAAAGAAAACCCTCCGTTTTAATGTAAGTGATATTTAATCAAAATTAATAATAAACGTACATAATTTTTCATTTCTCTCGTATTATTTCTATTGCCTCTTTTTTTCTGTCTCTGTCCCCATTCTTCTCTCTGCCTCTCTCTCTCTCTCTCTCCCCCTCTCTCCCTCTCTCCGTCTCTCCCTCTCTCCGTCTCTCACTCTCTCACTCTCTCCGTCTCTCACTCTCTCCGTCTCTCCCTCTCTCCGTCTCTCCGTCTCTCCGTCTCTCCGTCTCTCCGTCTCTCCCTCTCTCCCTCTCTCCCTCTCTCCCTCTCTCCCTCTCTCCCTCTCTCCCTCTCTCCCTCTCTCCCTCTCTCCCTCTCTCCCTCTCTCCCTCTCTCCCTCCCTCCCTCCCCCCTCTCTCTCTGTGTCCCTGCTTCTCGCACTCTGTCTTCCTTTGTTTCTCTGCCTCTCCCTCTCTGCCTCTCCCTCACTCTCTTTCTCCTTTTGTCTGCCTCTCCCTCTCTTTCCTCCCGCTCCCGCTCCTACTCTCTCTCTCCCTCTCTCTTTCTCACACTCTCTCTCACTCTCTCTCACTCTCTCTCTCTTTCTCTCCCTTTTGTTTCTCTTACATGTCTCGAAATCTTTCTTCTCTCCATCTCTTTTACTCATTGTGTTGTACATCGTCTTTAACACTGAATATCACAATAACATTAAGTTTTGGAAGTGAGTGAAAACTTTAAATGAATTCCTCGCTTGAAGGCTGTTTTCTGTTTTCATATACTTTCGTCGTTCACTTTGTGTCCATTAATTTAAAATTTG